TCGGAGAGCGAGGCACCTGCCGGCAACTTCAGCACCGAGCGCCGGCGATCCCTGTGTGCCAAGGAATTCCGCAAGCTGGGCTTCATGGTGCGTCCCCCCCGCATCCCCTCCCCAGCCCCAAGCTGGCTCCTCCACGCAGCCTTGGGGGCACCTGGTGGCTCCCCTAAGCCTGGTGTCCCTGTTGATGCTGATGGACCACCATGCAGTACCTCCCTTCTGCTCCCTCGGGAATCTGGAACAGCAAGTGTGTGGATGTGCCGGGACTCCAAGGAAAACCCTGTGGCTGCATCAGGAGGACGCTGCTGCTCGGAGAAGAAAGTTGCAGCTGCTAAACTGCATCCTTTGTGTCCTCCTAGAACAACAGCAACCCAGCAGAGGACCTCCGCCGTGCCCCACCAGGACTCCTTGCCCTGGACAACATGGTGTATTTCTCCAGGAACACCCCCAATGCCTACAGCAGGGTGCGTGTGCTCTCCCAGGGAGCTCCCTGGTGGAGAGTTACTGGATCTCCACCTGTTTTTCCTTTCCCTGTGACCTGTCCTTGGCCAAACCCAGGCAAGGATGTCCCTTTTGGGCAAATGTCCTACTGTTGCCCTGTTTCAGATGGAGCTGAGTCCTCCCTATGGGTAGGAGAAGTCATTTGAGGCTGGTGGCACTAAAGGGTTCCCATAGTTTTTGGGGTTTTGCCCACAGCTTGGTTTTCAGGCCTTGAGCAAACTGAGGCAGTTTGGGCAAAACCAGCAGGGCATCAGCCATGTTCCTCCTTGCAGTGCCTGTGACCAGCTCATGCACTGCCACAGGGGAAGGAGGAGGGTGGGGCTGGATTTTGGGGAGAGTGAATCACTCCTTTTAGGGGTGGCTTTACCTGGGTGGGGACAGCTTGACTAGGAATTCAGGAGGAGTGTGGGACATCTGAGCCCCACTGTTGGGGCAGCCTTCCAAGGTCATGGCCCGTGTAATGCGAGGTATGGCCCTCTCCTCCAGTTTGTCCTCGAGAACAGCAGCCGGGAAGACAAACACGAATGTCCTTTCGCTCGAAGCAGCATCCAGCTCACCCTGATCCTCTGTGAGATCCTGCATGTCGGAGAGCCGTGTACGTGTGTGCCCCAGCTTGTCCTTCTCTCTGCCCTGCTGCCTGGGGGGACAAGCTGCCAGGGCAGGGGGCTGCATCCATGGGGCCACCAGGCTCTGGCATGGCCAACAGCAGGGGAGGGGGAGGTAGGGCTGGGAAATGTCCAGGTTCTCCTGGACACTGAAATCCCCTGGAAAAACTGGGGAGTCTGGCATCACCTGTCCTTCTCACCGCAGGCTCGGAGACGGCTCAGGCCTTTTACCCTATGTTCTTCGGGCAGGATCATTTCTTCGAAGAGCTTTTCTGCATCTGCATCCAGCTGGTGAACAAGACCTGGAAGGAGATGCGTGCGACCCAGGAGGACTTTGACAAGGTGGGGATGCTGCAGCCCTGGACGGGATCACAAATTCAGGGGCTCTGGGGAGTGTTGCCAGACTGGGGTTGACAACTTGGGCCCTGCAGGTGATGCAGGTGGTGCGGGACCAGATCACCAGGACCCTGGCCCTCAAACCCACCTCCCTGGAGCTGTTCAAGACCAGAGTGAACGCACTGAACTACAGCGAGATCCTGAAGCTGCGGCAGACGGAGCGGCTGCACCAGGAGGAGACGCTGGCTGTGCCTGTGCTGTGAGTGGGCTGCGGGGGTGACACTGTGGGGCTGGGGAGGTCAGTGAGCACCTGTTGAGATGGCTGTGCTCCTCTTCTGCTGGTTTTCGCCCCAGGGAACTGCGGGAGAGGCTGAAGCCGGAGCTCCTGGAGCTGATCCGACAGCAGCGCCTGCTGCACCTCTGCGAGGGCACCCTCTTCCGCAAGATCAGCAGCCGCCGCAGGCAGGGTGGGTGCCAGCCCCCTGCTCCTGGGTGGGGGTCCTGGGAGGGGGGCAGAGGCTTGTCCCCATGTCCCCTGCCACTGGGGAAGTTGCAATTAATCTATGGGAGTAGCGTGCCCAGCTCCCTTGGACAGCGGCTGTGTAATCCAGCGAGAGAGAAAGATGGAGCCGGATATGGGACACTCTGCCCCCCCCGAAGTGACCTCACGGAGGGGAGCTCTGGAGCATTTCTCGTGTCTCTTCTGCTGCAGACAAGCTGTGGTACTGCCGCCTGTCACCCAACCACAAGGTACTGCACTATGGGGACGTGGAGGAGGGGGTGGAGTCTCCCCCCATCGAGAGCTTGACAGAGAAAAGTAGGTGATGAAGAGAAAGGGAGGTTGGGAAGGAGGGAGGGGAGTCCCAGCTGAGACTGCCTTAAGATGGGAATTCTCCCTGTGCCTGGCTGCTGTGCAGCTGGCCCAGTGTCCACTGGTATTGTGGGACTGGGAGCTGTGGGAGTTCAGGCTGGGGCAGGCTGGCTCCCCAAAGGTCACTGCAGAGTGGCTTGAGCCCCCCACCCTGAGTTGTGGATGGCTGTGAGCCCCCTTATTTCATCTGTGTTGGGCTCTGAGTACCAGGGACCTGGAGGAAAAGGAGAGGGAGGGGAAGGGAAGAAGGGGAAAGGAGATGCTCACAGCTCCTCCACTTGCCCCAGTTCCTGTGGCAGACATGAAGATGCTGCTGGTGGGGAAGGAGTGTCCACACACAAAGGAGAAGAGCTCCGGGAAGCAGAACAAGGTCAGCCCCTCACACTCCTCCCTGTCCAGGGGGCCCAGCACACTCCCCTCCCTGGCTGGGGATGGGTTTTGGGGGTGGATGAATGGTGACAGGTTGTGTGGTTTCATGGACAGAGACCTCTTGGGTCTCCTGGGGCACAGAGGAGGAGGCTGGGAGGCAGCTCCCGCTCTGAACCCTGCCGGGGTTGGAAAGAGTCCAGCTGAGAGGCTGACTACACCCTGTGCTGTCCCTGCAGGATGTCCTGGAGCTGGCCTTCTCCATCGTGCACGACGTGGAAGAATACTGCCTCAACTTCGTTGCCCCCACCCGGTACGAGGTGAGTCCAAGGGCCCTCTGAGGAGGCACACAGTGGCCTTTGCAGGCAGGGCAGTGAGTCCTGGGGAGTGGGAACCACAGAGGGGGAGAGGTGGGCTCTCTGGCTGCCCAGGGCTGGTGCCAGAGATGCCTGTGCTCTGCTTCCCCAGTTCTGCCTCTGGACGGATGGGCTGAACGTGCTCCTGGGCAAGGAGATGACGAGTGAGCGAACACAGACAGACCTCGATGTCCTGCTGTCCATGGAGCTCAAGCTGCGGCTCCTGGACCTGGAGAACATCAGCATTCCCGACACCCCCCCTCCCATCCCAAAGCCCCCCAGCAACTTAAACTTCTGCTACGACTTCAACCATGCAGAGCAGTGAGTTCCTCCCTGTGCCCCGTACCCCCCCCATGCCCCTCAAAATCAAACCCCTTCCTCCAGGCCCTGTCCCTCATCTCTGGCCCAAAGGGACAAGCCCAGGTGCTCGCTGGGGGCTTGGGTGGCCCACCCTTTCCTGCCTGCATCCTGCCCTCCTGTGAGAACATGGGAATGAGCTGCCGAGTATCAGGCTCTTGTTCAAGGGGGGTGACTCAGCTGCTTTGCCCCCCTGCTGTGGGCAGGCAAAACAAAATTCTTCCCAGACAGCCAAACCCCTCTGTGGTGGCACTGACCCTACACACACTACAGGCAGGTTTTGGGCAGAGAGGGCAAGGATGTGGGCAGGAATAAAGGTACAGGCAGCCCTGGGATAGCTGGAGCTGGGGTAACACTACAAAGGTACAAATCTGCACTGCCTGACTTTTGCCATCAGTGTAGGGGATCCTTTCTGGACAAGAAGGTGGTTGGGAAAAGGATAAAACACACCTTTCCACTAAGTTTGTCAAGGAGACAGCATCTCCCGAGCACGGTGTGCCTGCCAGGTCCCTTCTGCACTGAAATGTGTTTTTGCTGAGCCCTGTCCTGGAAGGGGGGTGTTTAGGGAACAAGCCCCCTTTTCCCAGCACCAGTCAGCTGGGCCTGGTGAGGAGGATACCCCAGTCTGCCCTTGCTGCCCAGCACTGTGATGTTTTGCCAATCCTGGTGCCTTCCCCCCGCCCTGGGCGGGCACTTGCACACTTCAGCCATGCTGCTGCACTACTGCACCACGACAAGCTACCTCCTCCCGGCCCCCACGGCCCCCACCCCGGTGCCCTGCACCTCCTCGTGCCTGCAGCTTCTCCCAGGGGTGTTGTGGTAACAACCACAGCCGCAGGTCACGGGGATCCAGCTGTGCCTCTGCCTCCTGTGTACAGGACAATAAACACCTGTGGAGAACTCGGAGATGTGTCCTTGCCAAAGATTTGGGGAAGGGCTCAGACTAGCAGGTCAGAAGGGGCCAGAGTGAGTAAGACTGGGACAGAGCTGCACCTGCCAGAAGCTGGGAGGATGATGGGCACAGGTGGGTCAAGGGGCTGTAAGGGGGGGCTGAAATGGGTAGGGCTGTCACCAGCACCCCAAACCCTGTGGCTGCACAGTGGGGCTGGAGGAAAGGCCTCAGGGTCCTCTGGTGCTGGGAAGTGGAGAAACTCTCTGAGGATCTGTGGGGGGGAGAGGGGGGTGGCTATGTATGTGCCCGTGTCCCCAGGCCTGTGGAGGGGATTGGGAGTCTCAGCTCTTCAGTACAAGAGAGACTGGGAGCTCCTGGAGCAGGTTCAGCAGATGGCAACAAATATGATTAAGAGACTGGAGCATCACTCTTACGAGGAAAGGTTGAGGGACCTGGGCCTGTTTAGCCTCAAGAAGAGACGACTGACAGGGGAACCTCTATCAGTATCTGAAAGGGAGAGTGTCAGAGGATGGAGCCAGGCTCTGCTTGGTGGTGCCCAGTAATAGGACAAGAGGAAACGGGCAGAAACTGATGCCCAGGAAGTTCCACCCGAACATGAGGAAGAACTTTACTGTGTGAGTGACTGCACACTGGGACAGATCACCCAGAAAAGGTGTGGAGCCTCCCTCACTGGGGCTACTCAAGAACCATGTGGACACAGTCTTGTGCCACTTGCTCTGGGGTGACCCTGCTGGAGCAGGGAGGTTGGACCAGATGACCCACTGGGGTCGCTTCCAAACTGACCCGTCCTGTCATTTTGTGGGATGTCCCCGGCACAGAAGTGTCCCCTCCCGGGACAGGGATGTCCCCGGCACAGGGGTGTACCCCGGGTCAGGGATGTCCCCGGCACAGGGGCCTCCCCCGGCTCAGGGCTGTCCCCTCCCGCCACAGGGCTGTCTCCTCCCTTCCCCTCAACCGGCTCCGGGCCGCTTCCGGCGCGCGTCAGGCGTCCGCGGGAAGCGGAGCGGCGGAGGCGCGGCGGCGGCCATGGCGGTGAGTGGGGCGCGCGGGAGAGCGGGGCCGGGCGGGTCGGCGGGGAGCGCGCCTGACCCGCCTCTCTTGGCTTCCACAGCCCAAGGGGAAGGCGGGCATCCCAAGGCGCAAGAAGCAGATCTTCAGGAGAACGCGGGAGACGCTGGCGCTTCTAACCTCCGATCATCCTGGGGGGCTCCGTGAGTGGGCCAGGGGGGGGCCCCGGGGGCGCGGGCCGGGCGGGGTGGGCGTCGGGCAGAGCAGCCGAGCCGTGGCTCTCTCCGCAGGGCGGCATCTAGCGGAGCCTGGTGAAATCACCCTGGTCATCGTTTCTACCCCGGCGCTCCGGCCTGGACGGTGGGTGAGGCGCCGGGGCACCCGTCCGCTGGCCCGGCGGCGGGGGCTCCTGGGCCCGGGCTCCCCCGAGGCCCGCGGGCCCCCGGCCGTGCCCTTTGCCGCTGACCGCCGTGTCCTCCTTGCAGCTCGCGTTCGCCTTCAGCTCGGTGGTCTACGGCACCAGCTACCGGTCCATGAACTCCATGGCAAAGCCGTCTTTCACAGACGATGGCAGCCTTGCCGACGGGGGAATTGACCTGAATATGGAGCAGGGGATGGCAGAGTGAGTGTCCACACCCGCACGAGTCCAGGTGAGCAGGACCTGCTGCCTGAGCGTGCGCGCAGAGCCAGGAGAGGCCCCGAGGAGAAGGCCAGGCCTCAGCTCCCGCCCCAGATTGCCCATGGTGTGGGCATGAGGGGAGCTGGAAGCCCGTAGCCGTATTTTCTGAGAGGTGTACCCTAACTGCCCTGGTTATCTGAACACTTGGCTTGGCGTGCCCCAGTCAGGAGCTGCCACGTGGGTGTGTCAGCCTGGCACAGTCACTGTTCTTAGGGCTGAGGGGCAGAGGTAAGAGATCACAAAGGGTTCAGTGGGAGCAGTTTACGACCATCTTTCAGTGAAGAAACAGCCCTGACACTGTGCATGCTGCCGCAGCACAAAGCGATATATATTTTCTTTTTAAACCAGCACTGCAGGTGGTGCTTGGCAGAGCAGAAGGGCACGTGCTGGCTGCAAACTGGCCATGTCTTGAACTGTTCTACACACTGAAAATTCTCCCCTCTGTCTGAGCCAGCTCCTGTGACTTTCTCAGCCAATTCTGTCCCCTGTGCTTGTGCATTCCTCATGTCTGTCTGCAGACAGTGTTTGCCTGTCCAGTGTTCTTGGCGCTGCTGTAACTGGCCTTTCCTTGGTCAAGGGACACGTAACAGTAATTCCTGAGAAGTGCTGTTAGATAAAATAAGGAGACAGCAGTACTGGAACAGCAGAAATACCTCCTAGATTTACTTTTTTTCCACCAGTGAGCCTCAAACTAGTTACAGAAAACTGCCAGGTAGTTGTGGACACATGAGGCTTTGCTCTCTGTCCTCCCTGCCCTCAGCCTCTGTCTGTTGGTCCAGCCTCTGCTGGGGATCTTCAGCATGTGCTTAGTGAGGTACTGGGGTCCTTGGCCCTTCCCTCCCATATCCTTGTCCTACCATTCCGTGTTTACCTCCATCCTTCCCCTGCTGCCAGGCTTTTGAAGCAGCACAGTGGGGCCTTGTCTCCAGCTGAGCCATCTGTGTCACATGAGGTGTTCTCAGTGCTGGCAGGGCCACATATTGATGTGTGTAGTTTTAACTTTTCCTAACGTAAGTTTGATTTTTGGCTGGGGATGTTATCAGCAGGCAGACCGACTTGGGGGGCACGGAACCTGCTGTCTGTGCACAGGGTGAGCTCACATCTTGTGTGTTAGTGGAGTGGCACCTTTTTGTACCTGCAGCAGGAGTGACTCATGTCTGGTGTAAGAGACTCAACTGAGGGACGAGGTGGCCAGGAGGAGAGGGGGTTATTTCTAGTGTGACCTGTGATCTGGGTGCTTTACCCTCTCTTCATCCTATAGAGACTTCATTTTCCTGCTGGTCAGCCAGGTGTTTTTCTCCCACTTTCCACTGGTTTGGCTTTCTAGAGTGGAATTGCAAAATATTTTTAATACCTTTGTAGTGAAACAAAACGTGGGACAGTTGAGGAGGGAAAATACAGAAGTTTGATGTTTGTGGTTGTGAGAGACGCCCCTGGGAGTTGTGCAAGGCACAGGGGGTGCCCCAATAACTGTCCTGTGTGTGTGTGATGGTGCTGCCAGGGGAAACGACTGACAGGATGTAGCACAGGGACCCCATTACCTGCTCTGAAAAGGTGACGAGTGCACTGCTGCAGTCCTGGTTGCAGATGTACTTCCCTTGGTATTGAGGCACTGAGGTTTTTCTGCCTGAGCAATTGGGCTGAGGTTTATGACACATTAAAATGAATTGATGCTTATCTGAGGCAGGGGTTGCGCAAAACACAGAGGAGGCAGAGCTGTAAGAACAAAACCTGCAGAGCTGAAGTTCCCATCCCTATCCTGTACCTCTAAATTACCTTTTTTGGGACCAGGGAACCACTCTAAGCTAGTGGTTACTTCAGAAAGAAGTGGATGTTTCCTGCCTCTCAGCTGAGCATGCTCCTTTGGAGGTACTCCTGCAATGCTGTGGCTTTGATGGTGTTTCTCTAGTGCTGTCTCTAACTGAAATGGATGCTTTGTATTGCTCTGGGGTTGAGGAAAGCCCACCTTGCTGGTCTCTGGGAGAGCTGGGTTTGGTGGGCCACCCCTCTGTGGCCTCTGGTGATGCCTGAGGTTACTGAACCTCCATGTCTTATTGTAGAGCTGTTGGTGGTGGATTCTGCAGTCTTGAGTCAATGTTGTTTGTGGTCAGTTTGCTTTGCACTTTGCCATTGCCTTTGTTTTGTTGTCTCCAGTCTTGGATGTGACTGGAGAAATTCTTTCTCCAGCAGCTGATGATTTAACCAGAGTGAGAGTTGGTGTTTTTCTAACCCTTCATGGCACTCCCCGAGGCTTGTGTTGAAAAACTAATACCTGTTTACCTCTCCTGGGTGTCAGATCCCCTGAGGGTGGTGGTTGAGGCATGGGTAGCTTGTTCCCTTCCACAGCTGCTCCCAGCTCTGCCTCAGGCTGGCATGGAAGATGCTGGAGTCAGATAAACAAGAGGGGAGGAGGAGCCAGTCTGTTGCTGTAGCTCAGCTTGCTGATGTGCTTGTCCTTTGGTGACCCTGAGTGTGTCTGTCAGCCTGTGAAATGGCATGGGGAAGATTCCTGGCTCCCTTCAGCACAGCCAGTCATGAGCAGCTATACTTTATGTCAAGATAGGTGTCAAATCAGCAGGTGCTGGCTGCTGTTTCAGCTGTAGGGCTGGGGGGTGGTTTTGTTGCTGGTTTCCATCCCCCGTCAATTCCTCAGCTTTCTCAATGGCCTTTTTTTTCAGAGGGAGCTCAGCTCTTTAACCCATCAGATTTTTTGTTGCTTGTTTACCGCTCAGATTCTTCTAGATAACTGTGTGTGCCAAAGCAGGGCAGTCCTTGGGTTGGGTGGGGCAGGGTCACTCCCTGGAGGTGGTGCAGACAGGCTGGGTTGGCAGAGGAGCTGGCGTGGGCTGGAATGGAAGCTCAGTGCTTTGCTTTTCTTCCCTCAGGCACCTCAAGGATGTGATCCTGCTGACAGCTATAGTCCAAGTGCTGAGCTGCTTCTCACCCTACGTCTGGTACTTCTGGCTCTTGGTAAGCCCCAGCCACTGCTGTTTTCCTTCTTGCTCTGCACTGTCCTTGTCTTTCCCTGTCGTCAGGACTGAGGACATTATTTATCCATTTCAATTCAGTGTCCTGTTTCAGGCCCAAGCTATTTTCTGATATGTTTTTTAATCTCCTTGTCAAATCTTGTTAAAAATTAGGCCGAACATGGCAAAGAAGTCCTGATCCCTCTGGGTCAACCACACAAAAACTAGGCTGGCCTTTGCCTTTCCCTCTGGTCCTGTGAAAGGGCAACAAGAAACACGAGGCAGATCAAAGCTGTCTTTGAGCACAGAGCCTTTCTGTGACTGTAACAAACAGTGTTTCCTTTTGTTTGACTTTCTCAGTCATTCAGCATGGACCAAGGCTGGACACTGTGCCTATTGGTAGATAAAATGCTGTAGGCATTGATTTCCCCTTAACAGGCCAAACTCTTTCTACTCCTGAAACATTTGTCATGTGCCTCCAGCTAAAGCTGCTTGTGCAGAAGGACAAAAAATCTCCAGTTGGTTAAAAAATCCCACAGTTGCTTTGAGGATATCACACAAAGGTACAGAAGGCAATTGTGGGAGAAGGAAAAGTCACCCCATTTCAGTCCTTGATCTCATTTCAGTCCTCACCCACAAATTCCTCTCTAGCTGACCTGGCAGAGGGCAGCCTAGACTTGGTTGTCCCCTGGAGACCATCTGGATCGCTTTTTTTTTTTTCTTTTTTTAAATTCAGAGCAATGTGGGTGTGTTTTCTGAAGGAAGGAGAGACGGAATGTCTGGGCAGTTGGATCCCTCTGGGTAATTCAGACCCGATGCTGGGATTTCCATATATGAAGCCTAAGAGCTGTATACGTATGCGAGTTCCTAAACGAAACGAAATGAAATCGGGCCGTTTATTTTGGCTGCCCACCACCTCCTCTGATTTCCCTGCATCCTGAGGTGCCTCTGATCCAGCCTGTGGGGATACTCCAGCTCCTTTGTCTCCCTCAGCAGGACCAGCCGGCGCTGTCCCCAGAGTGACCGAGTTTGTGCCACGTGTGTTTTGCAGGCTCCGGGGCGCGCGCTCTACCTCCTCTGGGTGAACATCCTGGGGCCCTGGCTCACAGCAGAGGCCTCACCCACCGCCCAGGAGCCCAACGAGAAGAAGCAGCGCCGACAAGAACGCCGGCAGATGAAGCGTTTCTAGCCCTGGCCTGGGGGTAGATAACGTGATCTCTCATCTCCACGCTGTTGTTTCATCAGGGATGCGACCGAAACCAATCCGAAACCACCGCAGTAGCTCTCGCCCCTCTGCCACTGCTGCCATTCCGCTCGAAAGGCCGCAAGAGACTTCCCTTGGTTGGGTCTTGGTGCCGGCTGAGGCCTTGCTCCTTGGGATGACAAGGGGGGGGTGATGCTGGGATGTGTGTAAATACCTTTTTAAAGCAGTGCTGTATCGCGTTCGAGGTTGGGGAGTGCAATGTTGGAGGAAATAGTACATTAAAGAGCAGAGTCTAATTGACCGTGCTGGCAGTGCGTTCACGCAGGGGAGCTGTGAAAAATGTCAGCATATTCCTGGAGATCTGGACCAGAGGGAAGCAGAATCCCCAGGGACAAGTGCTTTCCTCCTTTTCCCAGGCTTGGTCTGTGCTGCCCTGCCTGCCTCAGCCTCTGCACCCTGTGGAGGAATTGCAGCTGCCCTGTGGGATCAGGAGCATGGGGGAGCTGGGGGTGTTGGGCACTGGGCTTGCAGCCAAACTTTATGCTTTTGGGATTGAGCCTGAGCTCTCTGGAGCCATAGACTGGCCTGTGCTACCTTTGCGGGAGCTCAGTGTGATGTAAGACAAGAAGCTGTGGGTTTGGTTTTTTTGTATTTTTTGGGGAGGGTTCTCCCAGGGGAGCCATGACTGCTGCAGAGTTCATGTGTTAGAGACCAGGGCAGTTTTTTTGTTTGCCTGCTTTGATTTATTGATGTTGTCCCTGCCCAGTATGTTGTTTTACAGACCCCAGTGACCCCTTCCTGCTCCTGACGCACCAGCTCAGACCACGCAGCTTTGCCTGTGCCAGTGAGATGCACAGTGGGCGCTCACAGTGGTGCCAGCCTGGTTTTTGATGCTATCCACAACCTTTTGCCCACACGTCTTTTCCATTACATCATCTTTATTACACGCTTTTGACTAACATCAAGCCCAGTCCCCACCCTGAGTCCTCAAAGCCAGGGTGGCTATAGTTGGGGTGCAGAGCTGGGCAGAGATTGGTATTTGGGGGATTAAAGTCCTTCCTCCTGCTGGTGGGGGGCATGAGGGAAAGGGTAGGGAGCGGCAAAGGCATTCATGGGGAGATCTGTGCGTGCAGGCCAGCCCTTACTCCCTGCCAGGCACAGCCCAGAGCCCCCAGCCCTGGCTGCTGACCCCATGTCGGTGCCCCCACAGTGCTGGGAGCACTCCCGGGACCCTACGGAAACCCCCCCATTGCAACTCCCCCAGCACAGCCTTCTGCACTCGGGGACCAGCACATCACCCCAGCTCTGCCCTCCCTCCCCCTGAACGCTCTTCTCCAGCTCCCCAAAGCCACGTGGAGCTGCACAGCCGTCCCCAAAATACACAGGGACGGTGTTGGGGGGGACACATCAACACTAACCACACCGGCCCTCGGCCGCGCTACCCTACACAGCGGTACATGCACAGCGGCCGCCCGGGCGCCCGGCTCGGGCTCTGCCCTCTCCTCCAGCCCCAGTAAATACCCAATAAATGGCACCAGTTACACCCTTGGGGTGCTGGTTTGGGGGATGCCCCTCAGTCAGGCAGCAGCTGCTCCAGTTCCTCCTCATTCAGGCCGTTGGTGGTGACAATGTGATCCAGCTGCTTCATGTACCGCTCCAGGTCCTGCATGAAATGGGGGATGCGGGCCTTCTCCAGGACCCCGAATTTCTTCAGCCGATTCACATCTTCATAGGAGACCTGATGGGAAGCAGGGAGACAGGGTCAGTCCCCTCCATTCCAAACCCTGGCAGTTGCCAAGGGGGCATCTGGCCCCCTTGCAGACCACCTGGTTCACCCCCCACCCCCCCCACTGCCCAAATATCCCTCCTGCCTGTGGTGAGGCAGCGGGAAAGCTGCTGGGGATGTGGGATTTGCAGGGATTTGTGGTTTTGGTAATTTTCTGTCACTGCAGGGCCAGGTGACAGCAGGACTGCTGTGGCTGAGGGCCAGCAAAGCTTAACCTGCTGGGTTAAGCCTCTTCCTGAAAGTCTCCCACAGAGGATTATGGATTGTCCTGTCCTTCCTTGCATCCTACCCAGCACTGCCTTTCCCTGCTCCACAGAGACCCGTAAGAGCAGGAAAAGGCAAAGAGTGGAAGGGCTGCCAGGCAAGGGCTGGGTTTTGGGAAGCCAGGGGATCAAGAGAGAGCCTGTGTGATCTTAGGAATGGGACTCTGGGATGAGCCACTCCCTGCTCCACCCTCACTCCCAGCCATTACCTTTCCAAGTGCAGCCAGCAGTGGGAAGTCGATGGTCTGCCGATGGCGCAGGATGCGGAGAATCCCGTCCAGGTAGACCTGGTCCTTACTGAAACAGCCTGGAAGAGCAGAAGGGGCCTGGGAGAGGGAGCCTGGCTTCCCACCACCCACCACTTCCCTGAATGTTTACTGACTGCAATAGAAAGAATGAGAGCACTGGACCACAAGTGTGCCAGGGCTCAGGACTGCTGGGTGCCAAGGGATGAGCACGGGGGAGGCAGCTGGGTGCAGCAAGAGCTCCCCCAACCTCACTGGGATGGTCTCACCCTTCTTCCAAAGTAATTTTTTTAATGGTAAAGCAGTGCAAGAATCCAAATGTATCCACAGGAATTCTCATTTTTCCTCTCCTTTGCTGCTTCCCCAGAAGCTTATGCAAGTCACTGCTATAGGACAAATATAATCCCAGAGGAGAGCCGTGCTGGGGATGGGGAGGGATGTGAGGGAGGGTTGCCATGGCTACGTGTTGGGAGGAAGGGGTTAAAAGCAGAAGACTGGCAGGGGGGATTGTAAATTGCTCAAGTGACCTTGCACCTGGGAGTAACTCTTGATAAGCCTGTGAACAGCAGGCCAGTGATCCTCTGATCTTGTGTACCCTCTGCTTTGGGGATCCCCTGGTTAGTGAGGTAATGGAAATAAATTTACTCTTTGTGTTCCAGCCGCTGCCTGTGCCACCACTGCAGGACCGGTGACGCTCAACCCACCCAGCAGCAGAACACAGCCCCCCGCTGGCTTTCCTTTAACAAAAAATACACAGAACACCTCCCAAAACCCAAAGGCTCTGCACCCCCCTCGTGGTACCTGGCTGTGAGGTGTCAGTCTGGCCCCTCTTTGCCCGCACGCAGTACTCCCACCGGACCCCGGCGTCCTGGACGTACTGCTCCAGGTCCTGGAAGAGGGCGGAGAAGGAGAGGCGGCTGGCCCGCTCGATGGTGTAGTAGAGCAGGGCTGCCCGCCACAGGAAGGGCTGCTTGCGGAAGAGGACGCTGTGCAGGCTGGCCAAGCCTTCCTCCGTGGGGTTGGCGGGTTTCAGGCTGTACTGCTTGCGGCCCTCGGAGCTGTGCCAGGGCTGGCGGGTGTTGTTCACCCCCCGGATGTAGTGGGTGCCTGGGGAGGGGGGGACAGGAGTGAGTGTGGTCACCCACAGCCTCCAAAAAGGCTCAGCTCCCACCCCCCCTGCCCCGAGTCGCTGGGGTTGGGTGCCAGCTTCAGTCTTGGCCGGTGATGATGCCGTGGGGCATCTGCTTGCTCTGGTACCCAGGAGGAGGCTAGGACATGGGTAAACAGGTGGGTGCCCAGCATGCCCTCCCTGCACACTGAGAGGGATGCAGGTGGCCTCAGCCCCTTCCAAAACCTGCCCAGGATGCCTCCTTACAGGACCTGTGGGTACCACCTTGCCCCAGGCTGTTCCCCCAAGGATGTTCACAACATCCCCCCTGCTGTGCCCCCCACCCAAAGCCACTTCCCCCCCCCACTGACCTATCTCGTGGCGCAGCATCCCCTCCAGCCAGTGCTGCCGGGCTCCAGCCAGGTTGATGGCCAGTGTGGGCCTGCTGTCCTCCACCATCATCACTGCCTGGGACAGGAGGTCATCCGTGAGCTGCACCACCACCTGCAGAAGGAGGAGGAGGCAACTGCCATCAGCAGGGTCTTGGCTCTCAGCAGAGCCTGACATGGTGGCAGATGGTCAGAAAAAAGCCACTGACACCAGGGGTGGCACCGTTTGGCTCTGCTGCACCATCACCAGCATGTGCTGCAGCTCCCCAAAGGAACCACAGACAGCAGGAGCCACTGGGGGGGATAATGAGAGGAAAGAGATGATCCCATGCAGGGGATGAAATAGCTCCTTTAATCTCTTTACAGCCAATAAAGCTGAGCAGGCACTGTGGGGGCAGTGGGCAGCTGCTGAGCAGCCTCCTCCAGCATCCCTCTGGCTCCAGCATTACCTCCACAGGCTTGTTCCCATGGGCTCCCCACAATTTTGTGGCCACACATGATAGGCATGCTCTGGAGACTTGCCTGGTCCCCCTTCTGCATCCCCACTGGCAGTGGGGATGGAGCACTAACTTTGGCCACCAAAACAACCCTGCTCTGAACACCCAACAGCGCCAACATTGTTATGTGTCCAACCTCTGCACCCCCCAGACAAACATCTCCTCAGGGGCTCAAGGCTCTGGCTCCATTTTCATGGACTCCCCTGCAGATTCTCCCCATTCAAGGCTCCAAAACATGAGCAGTGAGGATGGCTCCATGCCAGCCCACCCTCACAGAAGGAACCGTGTGTGCTGGCCATAATTCACAGCAGGGATGGGCATCACATGTGCAGGACTAGTCAGTATCTTTACACAAAAAAACCCAGCTATTTTGGGAAAACTGGCTGCTGCAAGCACTGGAGCCAAGAGAGCTGCTCTCCATGAACAGGAGTTAATGTGCAAACCAAGCAGTATTTTTTGACCACCCAACTTCAGACCTGCAGTGACTCAAAGCTGCAGCATGGCTGGAGATGGTCCCTGGGAGCTCTTGCATCCAATGTTTGGCAGTGGCAATCCTAAGGACAGCAATCAAAACTGTTCCCCTACATACACATTAACTCTACAAACCATCTGTTATTTCACAGCTGACACTTTTCAGGATGAAAACATGTGCATGCATTACTAAGTGACAGTTCTTTCAATTAAAAAAAAAAAAAGAGAGGAGACTGAATTGGTTTGCTTTAAATCAGATTTATTATTAATGTTATTATTTATTATGAAAGCCAAAAGAGTAGCTTAACAGACTCCACTGCTGGGCAAATGAACAGCACAAAATACTTACAGCACAACTGCTTACCTGGATTAAAATACACCAGTGTGAAAAGGGATCCCTCCAATGCAGAGAAGAGACTTGCCAGTTCGCCTCTGACTCCTCACACAGAGCCAGGCACCCAGGAGCACTGGAAAGGGACTTCTGGCATTGCTGGAGAATGCAGCTTCACAAACACTGCCGTTCTGCTGCCTGCTGCA